GTAGGGCTGCTCGTCGTTCGCCCAGTCGCAAACGTAGCGCAACCCGGCCTCCGCCAGCAGTCGCGGCGTCCGGTCCGACTCGCCGTATTCGGGACCCAGCCAGCCCTGGGGAGCCTTGCCGGTCGCCCGGGTCAGAGCGTCGACGGACGAGCGGATGTACTCACGCTCCTCCTCCTCTGACATATTGCTGGTGATCATGCGGCTCACCGACACGCCGTGGCCGATGATCTCGCAGCCCCGGTCCACGCAGTGCTTTACGAGGAACGGATAGTTTTCGGCGGTGATGGCGTCCATGGCGATGGTGGCCGTGATGCCGTGCTTCTCCAGCGTGTCCAGCAGCCGGAAGATCCCGATGCGGTGGCCGTACTCCCGGTGGGACAGCCGAGCGTAGTCGGGGAAGGCTCGGGGCGCCGAACCCCCGGACAGATTGGCGACCTGGTAGCTCCCCTCCGGCGCCTCCCATTCCATGTGCTCCAGCACCAGGATGACGCACAGGGCCACCCGTGCTTCGTTGGGCCAGCGCAGGGCGGGCCGACTGATGATGGGCGACCATTCGTGATGCGGATGGTCCATGCCGAAGGTGCGTTGCGCAGGCATATTAAGCGTGCTCCTGGGAATCAGTGTGCTCCTGGGTGGTGACGGTGCGACGGGCCGGCTATTGGGCAAACCGTTGAGCGTGCTCCACGGCCTGGTCGTAGTAGTTGGCGATGTAGTACTCGGCGATCTCGTCGGCCGTGGTTTGCCACACCCCATCGTGGGCCATGATGTGGCCAAGCACGTCGTCCAGGTACTTGATGCGGTGTGGCTGGCCGATCAGGAAGGGATGCAGGGCGATGCACATGACCTGCCCGCTCTCGGCGCCTTCCTCGTACAGCCGGTCGAACTGCCTCTTGCAGATGTCGGCGAAGTATTCGGCCGTGTAGTGGTTGTCGCGCAGCACCGAGGAGTCGTTCAGCTCGATGGAGTAGGGCACCGAAACCAGCTTGCCCCCGTTGTTAACCTTGATCGGCGTCGGCTGGTCGTCGTGGAACCAGTCGGTGTGGTAGATCAGGCCGGCCTCGGCCATCAGATCCGGCGTGCTGACGGTGCCCGTGATTGCGGGTCCCAACATTCCTTTCAGCTGCTTGCCGGTGTGCCGCTTCAACGTGTCGATACAGTCCCGGTAGAACTCCCGCTCCTCATCCTCGGTGCAGGTGTACAGATAGCGCGTGTTGTAGATGCCGTGGCTCATGAAGTCGTAATCGCGTTCGACCATGGCCTCGGCGATCTCCGGGAAGTGCTCCAGCACCGCCAGGTTCAGGGAGATGCAGCAGCGAATGCCATGCTTGTCCAGCGGCTCCAGCATCCGCCAGAAACCGACGCGGTTGCCGTAGTCACGGTAGGTGAACTGCTGCACGTCGGGGTAGGGCATCCGGGGCCACGGGTCGCGCACCCCCTCGTTGACGGGAAAATACTCGTAGTGCTCAATGTTGGGAGAAATCCAAAGAGCGACACGGGCGTCGTTGGGCCACTTGATGACGGGCCGGTCGATGATGGGCAGGTAGTCGATGCGGTCGGGCGGCAACGCCATGATCTGTGCTCCTTGCGGTAGGGGCGAATGGGTTTCGGTCACGCGGCGGTCGGATGAATGCAGCGATGCTAGTCCAGGAAACCCGATTCGCGGCGCCACCTGACATAATCGGTCAGACCGGCGGCCAAATCATACTGCGGAACCCAGCCTAAATCGTGCCACAAACGGTAGCCCGACAGCGGGCCCCTGGTTGGTCCCAACGAGGAGTCGGCCGGTTCCGACGATTCGGATTCCACCAGCCGCGTTTCGGGGTACAGTTCGGCCAGGGTGCGTTGGATCTCCGCGCCGGTCACGGACACGCCGTTGGTGATGTTGTACAGGTCGTGGGGCAACTCGGGCGCGTCGACGACGGTGGCGATGGCCGAGGCGGTATCCAGGACGTAGGTGTAATCCCGACCGTAGGCGGTGGCATCCATGGTGATCGGCTCGCCGCGCAGCATCTGCCCGGTCCACTGGTAGGGCGTGGACATGTTGTCCCGGTGGCCCGTGATCCGTTCCATCGGCCCGTAGGGCGTGCTGACGCGCAGGTTCGCGGCGCTGAAACCGTGGAGCTGGCCGTAACGCCGGGTCAGTTGCTCGCTGGCGAGCTTGGTGATGCCGTAGAGGTTGCCCGGCTGCGGGTGATCGTCCTCGTTGTAGGTCTGGTCCGGGTCGCGGGTGAGGCCGTACGCGGCACCCGAGCTGATGTAGACGAACCGCCCGACGCTGATCTCGCGGGCCAATTCAAGCAGGTTGCCGGTGCCGGTGAGGTTGATGTCCAGGATGTCCTTGCTGCGGGCCGTTTCCCGGTCGTGCGGTTGACGGTGAACACTGCGGCGTGGACAATTTTGTCGAAAGAGTGAGCCTGCCGCAGGGCGTCCAGGCCGGCGGTGTCCAGGATATCGCCATCAACGAAGGTGACCCGTTCGGCCAGGTCGCCGAGGAAATGGGTCATCAGGGCGTCGGGGGTCAGCACGTCGTAGCTGACCACCTCGTGGCCGCGGGCGCCAGTTCCTTGACTATGCTCGCCCCGACGAAGCCGACGCCGCCGGTTACCAGGGTTGCCATACGCCTGTTCTCCCCGAACAGCAACGGTCCGGAGTTGCCCCGGATCGCGTGCTCATTGCAATGGTGGCGCCAGTATGCCGTCGCCGGCGGGCGAATTCAACTGGAAAGATGGTTGGCGACCGCTGACCATCGCTGGGCTTCGGCGGCCTCAAACTGTTGTCCCCGCGCGAGGAGGAGCCCGGAGAACCGTGGGATCAACCATCCTGGGCGGGGTAAAGTTTCCCTGCACACGACCCCGTACCGCGCATGGAGTGACGCCTCATAGCCGGTCAGACGATCATACTTTTGGACGCATGTCCTGGGTGTGGACAGTTACGTTTGTATCATTTCTATGAAAAGTTACGACCATAGTGTTATGATCCGGTCACCCTGGCGCGGAAGAATTCCCGTGAAAACGCTGCTGCTCACCTTGGTCACCGGCCTGTTGCTTGTCCTCCTTGTTGGCTGCGGCGAGCCGACGCCATTGGAAATCGCGGCCAAATCTGACGTGGTGGTGCCCCGGGCGCGAGAGTTGATGTTGACGGCCATTTTCTCCCCTGACGCGGAGTGCCGTGAATTGGGCGGCCAATTTGCCGAAGAGTATGAGGTTGACGCGATGCCATACGACGACGCCGACCCCAAGGATCGGATGTCCAAGCTGGAAAATTTGGAAAAGGGCCTCGACGACTTCGAAGAGGACCTCGAGAAGGCCGATTGCCTACCTTGAGGTTGATTGGCTACGAGATCCCGCCCGGCGTTTGACCACGAATGGCTTGACCTTTCGAGCAGCCACGCGGGTAATCGTAATTGTACAACCAGGAGCGGAAAGATCAGCGACGCCGAAGGGTTTCGTACTCCTCTGTAGCGAAACCCGAGGCTGTTCGGCGGTCCTGCTCTCGTGCTCGCTGAGGCACGATGGGGAAACCATCTGGATGACCTCGAGGGTTGCCCGTTTGCTGAGGCCCTGGCGGGTGCCCGCCACCTGGAGCCGGTCTGAAATCAATTTAGACCGCGTGCCCAACGTTCGGTCGATGCGGGATGCTTTTGGTTCCCGGTCCGGATCTCCGCGTCGGCCACGTCGGCCGGTCTTTACTAATTCGAGCACGAGAGTGGAGTGTGGTTGGCGTGGGCCGTAGTATGCTGCGAGTTGCAACTGCTGCCGCTGTGATCGTAGTCCGAGAAACCGGGGTGCCTGTGGTCATCCATCATCGATTTGGTCCACATCCTGCCGCGAGGGGTCGGGTCTATGGAGTTGATGAGAATCTCCTCAAGGCAGTCGACGGTTCCGCCCCAGTAATATTGCGTGTTGTTATGCGTATGCCCTTGCCACGTCCCGGTTCCGCACGTGCCAGTGACGACGATGTCGTATTCGCCCCGGTCATCGCTGCCATCGCCGTTATCGCCGCCGTCGCCATTGCCACCGTTGCCGTCGCCATCCCCCGGTGTTTCCGTGGCCTGGGGATCTACTTCCGTGGACTGCGACGAAGCAGGATCGGTTCGCTCGACGGCCGCAACTGACCAGAGGCTCATCCCCACCGCGTTGCACGCCGCCACCTGCACGGTGTAGCTGGTGTTAGCTAGCAGACCGGTTATGTCATACGTCATCCCGGTCATCACCTTCTCCATCTCGCTGGCACCACCCTGCGTCCACTGGACCGCATACATCTTGATCTCCGACCCTCCGTCGTCAGACGGTTCGGACCATTCCACGGTCAGCGAATTTGCGCCGTTGACAGTGACAGTTGGCGGATTAGGCCTGCCCGGCGTTCCGGTGCTTCCCGGGTTGGCTACGCCGCACCAGGCATTGTTGACGGTGCCGACGATGCCGCCGCCTGTTGGGCCCGGTGTGCTGTAGGTAGCTATAGTTGCGCCCTGCGACCAATTGCTGAAACCGACCGCATTACACCCCGAGACCCTAATCTCATAAAGGGTACTGGCGGCCAGGCCCCGGATTATCGCGCTTAAGCCTCCCTCGCTGATTACCGTGCGAGTTCCGCCTTCAGGCACATACATAATCGAGTATCCGATGATCGCTGAATCGTTGTCGTTGGGCGCAACCCACTCGACTCCAACCCTGGTGTTGTCCTGCGTAACGATCAGGGTCGGAGCTGCAGGCCGGTCCGGCGTCCCTGTGCTCCCCCGATCGGCACCGCCGCACCCGCTAAAAACGACAGTGTCGCCGCCGTTGCCGTTGTCGCCGCCGTTGCCGCCGTTGTTGCCATTGCCGCCGCCGCCGTTGCTGTTGCCACCGTTGTTGTTGGCCGGGGTTGACGCGGTAGAAGACCAATCGCCGTAGCCAGTAGCATTGCACGCCGCGACGCGTACGTGGTACTGAGTGTCGGCGGTCAAGCCCGTGAGATCCGAGCTCAACCCGGTGGAGGTTGTCCAACTGCCCGAGCCGCCATCAGGGGTGTAGTGGATCGCGTAGTGGAGAATCGCCGATGCGCCGGCGCTGGGAGCAACCCACGTTACGCGGATTGAAGTCGTGCTCGGCATCGTGAGAGTGGGCGCAGCCGGGGCGCCCGGGGTACCGGTGCTGCCCGGCGCCGCGTCTCCGCAGGTGATGGAAGTCTGACCGCCGCCGTTGCTGCCGCCGCCGTTGCCAGATGGGTCGCTCAGCGTTTGCAAGATAGTTCCCGGGGACCAGTCGCCCCAGCCGGCGGCGTTGCACGCGGCAACCTGGATCAGATACTCCGTGCCCGCGGTCAAACCGGTGACGATCTCACTCACGCCGTTCCCATTTACTTCGGTACCGGTCCCGCCGGACGGGGTGTACAGGATGGCGTAGTCGAGGATCGGTGAACCTCCGTTGTCGGGAGCGACCCATTCGACGAAAGATCTGGGTGGCCGACCTCGCTTCCACGGTGGGTTGCGCCGGGGCGGCCGGGGTTCCCTCAGTTCCCCGCCCGGCGATGCCGCACCCGGAGTTGGTGGTGGTGCCCACGGTCGCGCCGCCACCGCCACCGCCGGAAGTGCTCGCGGTCGTTATGGTGGTGCCATCGGACCAATGGCCGAACCCTACCGAGTTGCATGCTGCCACGCGGATTTCGTAGGTGGTTCCCAGGCTCAGGCCCGGTCAGCACCTCGCTGGAACCGCCGGCGCTGACTATGCTGCTGTCGCCGCCTTGCGGGGTGTACATGATGGCGTAGTGCAGGACCGGGTTGCCGTTGCCGCTGGGAGCGGTCCACCCGACGCCTACCGAAGCTGACAGCAAGGTACCGGTGAGAGTGGGGGCTGTGGGGGCGTCGGGGGTCCCGGAGCTGGCCATCGCGGCGTTCCCGCAGCCGGGGTAATCACCGGAGCCGTGCCAGTTCTCGCTGCCGCCACCGCCGCCTGTGCCAGAGCCGTCACCGCCCTTGCCGCCAATGCCCACTCCGGAGCCCGGCGTACCGTCCGTTCCGCGGGTGCCGGTCTGTGACGTGCCTGAACCGGAAGTGCTGGAAGTATCCGGTTCGTTCTCGTTGGGGAAGTCAATCTGCGTGGGCGGATCCCGGTCCTCGGTCGTCCTCGGGTCCCCTGACGATGAGGTAGCAGACCTTGCTGGGCTGGTCGGTCACGTACCCGGCATCATGTTGATCGGACGCCGGATAGGCACGCACGAGCGAATAGCCGTTATCGTCGACACTGCGGATGATGTACCACTCGTCGCCGTTGGAGTCGGTGTGGAATCCCTCGAACGAGCCGCCGCCAGTAGTCGGTTTCCAGGACGGCTTGCTCGTTTTCCACCACCGGCCAGTCGCTGGGGCACGCCGGCAGATTGGCGCCGTGCGTCGTATCGGCGGTCGCGATCAGCGCGAAGCACATGGCGGCCACCACGGCAACCGCCACGGCCATTTTGTACTTCCCGACTATGGCGAGCGCCATCTCAGCCTCTTCCCCCTCACGTTGTCCTGCTCACGCTCACGGTAGTATCTGGTTATCGTTACTGACGCCGTACCATCTGCCCTCGCCCAATGCAAAACATGGGACGGCCAAAACCGTTCCCAGCGGATCGCATTGATTTTACTTTTCTTGATTTGCGACCATCTAGCAGAAATGCGTACAATGTTTGTCGAATATTACCGCGCGCGACGCCAACGCCGCGTCGGCCGGCTACCCCTTCGAGCGCGGCTCCCTGCGGTCGGCGCGGTAGGCGACAGGGCGGATCGACGCCGTCAGCGACGGCATGGCCATGGACCCTCGAACCGGCGGGCGGATCTACGCCGGCGTCGGCTACGGCGGGTCCTGCTTCCCGAAAGACATGCGGGCCCTGGACAACGTTGCCCTGACCAGCGGCGCCAACGTGGAGCTGCTGCGGTCGGTCATCAACATCAACAACCGTCCAAACTGCTGCCGGTCTACGCGCTGCGGGAGCGATTTGGCGAAGCCATCGACGGCCTGCGAGTTGGGGTGCTGGGCCTCGCCTTCAAGCCCAACGCCAACGGTCTGCACGTCGCCCAGGCCGTTTAACCGGGCGATTTCCCGGTATTCGTCTTCGGCCCAGCACCCACATCCAAATCTGTAGGCGGCGGTGGCGGTGGCGTCAGCTCGGCGGGAGCGCCGGTGACCGCTGCTGCCCTGATCCCTCAAGCCGGGCATCTGCCCGCGATTTGCCACCGGCGGTCGGTGTCTCTACAATCCGTGGCACTTGGTTGGAGGTAAAGAACTATGAAGCTTCTGGTAGTGTCTGGAGGACGTCATCCGTATGAGGAGTCGACGCCCATTTTGGAGACCTTTCTCAAGGGCGCCGGTCACGACGTCACGGTTACCGAGGATGCGTCGCCGCTCGCCGACCGGTCGGCAATGAGCGGCTACGACGCCCTGGTGTTCAACACCCGCCGAGAGAACGTGCCGGACTTCGGCGACTGGACCCTTTCGGCGTCTGAAATGGAGGGCCTGCGGGAATACGTAGGCGGCGGCGGGGCGTTCGTCTGCATACACATCGCCACCTGTGTGGCGGCAGCATGGCCCGAGTACCACGACATCACCGGCGGGGGCTGGATTTCCGGCACCAGCTACCATCCGCCCTACGGGCAGTTCACGGTCAACGTCAGCGATGCCGCTCACCCCGGGGCCTCCGGAATCGCTGATTTTTCAACCAACGACGAGCTCTACATGAACTTGGCAATCAAGGACGGTAGCGACGTCTTCCTCACCGGTAACGCCGGAGACGGAACGTATCCGTGGGGGCCGGACCGCAGCCCCACGTTCATGCCGGGAGGAACTTATCCGCTGGGGTGGACGCGCAAGTACGGCGACGGCAACGTCTTTGTCCTGCTCCTGGGGCACGATGGCCGGAGCTTCGAGACGCCGGAGTTCCAGCGGTTGGTGCTCAACGGTGTGGAGTGGGCTGCCACGAAAGTCGCGGCCTAGCAGTCGCGGCTTAGCAGTCGCGGCTTGACAGAGAAAGTCGCCCATCCGTTCACCGCCCACGCGGCGCTGAACGGCGAGCATGATTTGGGGGTGCGCCGCGACGGTGCACCCCCGAGTTCTCGATTTGTGCCCGGTCTGTGTGTCAGCGGTCCGCGAAAGCGTTCTCACCAACTGACCAGCATAAATGCCATACTCCTCCCTCATACCCCTGCCAAGGAAGTATCGCCGGTCGGAGGCCGCGTTCCAGGTGATCTGGCCAGGCAACCAACCCGGCATCGGGCCTGGTCCCGAGCGTCAGTACCTTGCGTAGAGTGTTGCCACGGAGCTGGTCGGCACGGAGCTAAATGAATCAGCTATCGATTTTACTGCTGTTCTTGGTGGCGATGTCCCCTGGCGTTCGGATGCGCATCCGGTGGGCCCGTCCCTGCCGCGCCCGAGGCCGGCGAACCGGCGGAAGTGGAGCTTCGCATTGTCGCCATCAACGACTTCCACGGCCACATCGCCACGTCTTCGGATTCATTCGGCGGCGTGGGTCGCGCCGACTACCTGGCCGCCAACATCGCGGCCGCCCGGGCCGGCGCTCAGAACTCGGCGTTCGTGTCTGCCGGCGATCTCATTGGCGCCTCGCCCCTGATCTCTGCCCTGTTCCACGACGAACCCACCATTGAAGCCATGAACCTGATCGGCCTGGATTTCAACGGGGTGGGCAACCATGAATTCGACGAGGGACCCGCCGAGTTGCTGCGGATGCAACAGGGCGGCTCACACCCCGTCGACGGCGACCTGGACGGCGATTCCTTCGACGGCGCGGACTTTCAGTTCCTCGCCGCCAATGTCATCGACGACAACACCGGAAACACCGTCTTCCCACCCTACGCCATCCGCGATTACCAGGGGATCAGGGTGGCGTTCATTGGGATGACCCTGGAAGCAACCCCCCAAATAGTTGCCCGCTCCGGTGTGGCGGGTCTCACCTTCCAGGACGAGGCGCAAACCGTCAACGCCCTGGTCCCACAGCTTCGCCAGGACGGTATCGAGGCGATAGTAGTCCTGCTCCACGAGGGCGGCTTCTCCGACGGCGGGCAGAATGACTGCGGCTCAGGTCTCAGCGGGCCGGTTGCCGAGGTCGCGGCAAGGTTGGATGGCGCAGTGGATCTGGTGATCGCGGGACACACCAATGATGAGTTTATCTGCGAGATCAGCGGCAAGTGGGTGACCATGGCCGACAATCGCGGCCGCCTCTTCACCGTCATCGACGCCACCCTGCATCGGGACACCGGGGACCTCACGGTGCGGGCGATCAACAACCAGCCCAACTCCCAGGCCGGCGTGACGCCCGTTCCCGCGCTCACCGCGCTCATTGACCGGTATGACGTCCTGTCGGCGCCCCGAGCCAACGCCGTGGTCGGAACCGTAACCGCCGACATCACCCGTCAGCAGAACGAGGCGGGAGAGTCCGCTTTGGGCGATGTAATAGCAGACGCCCACCTGGCTGCCACCAGTGGCATCGATGATGGGGGCGCCGTGGTGGCCTTCATGAACCAGGGCGGCATCCGGGAGGACATACGGTACGCCGCGTCCGGCGACGAGGCCGGCGGTGTGTTGACCTTTGGGGAGGCTTTTGGGGTCAATCCTTTTGGCAATAGCCTGGTCACCATGTCCCTGACCGGCGCCCAGATCGACGATCTGCTTGAGGTGCAGTTCGCCGACCTCGAGGCGGGTACGAGGAGGGTCCTCCAGGTCTCCGCTGGGTTCAGCTACACCTGGGACGCGTCCCGGCCAGTCGGCTCGAGGGTGGACGCAGCCAGCATCACGATTGACGGTGTCGCGATCAATCTCGATCGCACCTATCGTGTCACCGTCAACAGCTTCCTGGCCGACGGTGGTGGCGGATTCGACGTCCTCACCGAGGGCGCCCAGCGAACCGGCGGGGAGATTGACCTGGACGCGTTGGTCGCCTACTTCGCCGGCGTCGATGCGGTTTCCCCCGGTCAGCAGGACCGCATCACCCGCGTGAACTGATTCGGGCTCGGGCGTCTGACCGTGCCAACACCGGGGAATTCCTGCGCGATCTCCCTTGCCTCCTGACGGTGTCTCCCGTACTTGCACGATACGGGGTTGTTTGCCGCAGTAACCGTTCGGGCTCGATTGTGGCGGAGCCCGCCAAACCTTGCTTTGCCGCGGCCCGATGAGACCGAAGCGTCGGGATGGTGCCGTGGATGCGGGATTTGAACTGTACGCGCGACTGAGCGATTCGCGCGCCTACGACGGTTGAACATGCCCCAGTCGGGCAACGGTTCAAATCAGGCCGGGGTCAATGCCGATATTCGTCGCCTGTGCCCCGACGGTAGCCTCCGCCCGAGTCCTGCCCGATTTCGCATTTCGGGAAGCATCAGCGGTGTTTGCACACGAATCCGGCGCTGAATTTACATCATAAGCATTATGTTCGTTGTTCCACACATATTATGTAGCGTATTTTCATATCATTGCGTATCATAGGTCGCGGTAGTTGACCGCTGCACCATCCAGTAAACGCTTTGCGTACCTATGCTGTACTCAATGTCGAAAAGAGGCTAGTGCACAGACTTTCCAGCACCTGGATGCTACCGTCCGTAGTCACCGAGCGCGCGCGCGACGCCCGACTAGCCGAGGCGTTCCGACTCACTCGCTCACGTTGTCGCGAGGCCAGCCACGCGCTGTATGACAGCGGTCAAGCACCCGCACGCAAGGAGGAACGCTTATGTGACCGACGAAAGGGCCCATTCTCCAGCACAGGGATTTCAACGCATGTCGGGTGATGCGGCAGCAACACGCTCATACCCAATGCAAGGTGTAGCTCCGGAACATCAGCGCGTAACAGCGCTTCGCAGCAACGAAAGAATGCAGGGATCAGCAGGACACTCGGCGTCCAGGGGGGCGCGATACGGAAGCATTCGGCGCGATGACATCTTCGATTGCAGGCCGCTGACGTGGCGGGCGCAATATTCTATTGATCGCCGGCCAAAGTTCACCTTATCACCTCGAATGTTTCGCCTACGGCATCGATGGCCCCTATGACTGGAACCGGGGACGCATAGCAGATGGGAGGGTATCCAAGTGTTCATTCATCAATTCAAATTGAACCAATTGCGAACAAGATTTGCGTCGAGCCGGCTTTTAGCAGTTTGTCTGGTGGTAGTTTCGACCCTCTTCCTGGCAAACTCGGTGCCGCTTTCAGTTTCGGCCAACTCGGACGGATCTGAACCCGCTACGTTTGCCAGCAGCGCGGCCCAAAATCGGCAAGGCGAAATGTGGCCGGGAGCGGACATTCCGCCAACGGGCCAAATATCCGTGATCGGCGACGACATCGGCCTCATGTTGCACAACGGCAACCGCGCGAACCCTGGCGCGTCGGCCCAGCGGGCAATCCGCGGATCACTGTCCAGTGCGGACGAGGGGTTGATCTACGTTACTCACGACAATCAGCCCAGGGTCCAGGCGCGGGCGAGCAACACCAACGCACCGCACATCGTCGATAACGGCGTTCAGATGTACGAGGTCAGTAAAGCTGAATCCGGTGGGTGGAGGACACGCGCCATCGGCGATGACACCTACGGCTCCGGAGAGCTCATTGCGGTTTCGGTCGAGTTCAGCGAATCGGTACGTGTGGACGGCGAAACCACCTTTCTTATTCGATTGGATTCGGGCAACCGGGACTTGGTGCCCGTTAGCCACCGGGACGAAACGGTGATTTTTGCAGCGCTTGTCAATCCCTCCGACAACGATTCCAATGGCGTGTGGATCGGCGATAACACATCGACCCTGGACCACAATGATGCGGACGCCATTCGAAGCACAGGCGACTCGCCCCGAAACGCCAACCTGACCCACGCTCGCCTCGGAACCCAATCGAATCATAAGGTCAAAGGGAGCAGCACGAGACCGCAACTGCAAAGCGTCCGTATCTCATCCACGCCTCAGTACGGGGACACCTACATACGCGGTGAGGCTATCAAAATTGAAGCCCGATTCGACCGGGCCGTCGTTGTCAATGGCGATGTGGACGCCAGAATCAGATCGGAGGCCTTCGGGGACACGGTTACGCGCTCGGCAAACTACGCCAGCGGAAGCGGCACGTCCAAGTTGGTCTTCGAGTATCGCGTTTCATTTTTTGACGTGGACAGCGATGGCATCGCCATCCCGGGCAACTCCTTGGCCCAGAACGGTGATCCTGCTATGGGCGCCCAGGGAGGCGGATCGATCTCCGGAAGATCAGGAGGGTTGTTGCCCGATCTGTCGAGTCGTGGGAGGGGCGAGAACCCGAACCACAAGGTGGATGCCGGGCTGGCGGCCTTGCCGGAAGTGATGACGGCCATCCAATGGGACTGGGAACAGGACACACCCGGCAGTCCGTCGGTCGAGATGGACTTCAACATTCGCGAAGACCCCGGGCACTTCTCGGAAGACCAGGTCCTCGTCATTGCGCTGGGTTGGGGTCATCTGGAAGGCATTCGGTTCGCGTTCGGACTGCGTACCGATGTGGATAAACCGGGCACGGACGGGTCCCAGGGCAAGGGGGTGATTTTCAACCGTTGGGATTCGCAGGACGCGGCGACATCAGCGAGGGTCGTCGGCGACGGATGGACTGAAGCGGGCAACTTTGGTGGTCCCTTTACCAGCGTCAGGCGGACCTATGATTGGAGCGAGGGCAACTACTCAGTCCGCGTTGCCAAGGACGGTGGCGACGACTCTGACGCACGCTGGTTCGGACTGTGGATCACCGACAAATCCACGGGTGTCGAAACCCACATGGGATCTCTGAAATTCCCGTCCCCCGAAGAAGGCGAACCGGAGATCTGGACCAGGAACGATGTGTTTGGATCGGTCATGGCGATCCTGGGCAACACCCCAGTGAGGCCCAGCGACATACCGGTATTCGAGGTAGCTCTGGGATTGCCCGATGCTTCCGGAGGGGATTTCCCCAACGCAGTCACGGTGAACTATTCTCTTTTGAATGGGGTGTTGACGAACGAAAACGTGGGCTACGACGCAGCCACCGGAAAGGTCATCATGCGTGTGGGCGGTTCCACCAGTCGAACCACACGACCCGGGACAACCATCACCGGCCTGCAAGTGCCGCAACTTACGGCCAGTATCGGAGACGTGCCGGAATCCCATAACGGTCGTACCGCGTTCACCTTCGAGTTGACGTTCAGCGAAGAACCGGGCGCGCGCTTCAGCTACAAGACCTTGAGGGACCATGCGTTTACGGTTACCGGGGGCTCGGTGATCGGAGGCGCGACGGCTGGACCGGCCCAGCAACATCCGTTGGGAGATCAAAGTCAATCCCAACTCCTCCGACGCTGTGGTAGTCGTGCTGCCCGTTCCCGATTACTGCGGCGCCCAGGGGGCGATTTGCACCGCTGACGGCAGGGAGTTGTCCGCATGGTGCATCTAACCGTCCCCGGGCCGGGCGACGGTAACTGAGCCACCCGAACAATCGGGCCGTTTCAGGCAAACGTCCGGTCCAAGTGGGAGAAGGCTCTGCCGGGGCCTTCTCCCCGAGAAGCTTCATGCTCCTTCTCCTTATGGACGGCTGGCACACCGCAGCGTCCGGCGCGGCCCCGTCGACAGGGTAGCGCGCCGGATTGCTGTGCCTCCGGTGGCAAACCCGGGGATGCTCTGAAGAAGGGGAATGCCCTGAACAAGGGGGATGCCCTGAACCAGCCGGTGGTGGTTCCCCCCGCGTTCGAGGGAGGAAATGCAGCTGTCCGAAGCGTTGGATTGGCTGGCGCCGGGCGCGTCGGCATGGCGAGGCGCATGGCTCCGGAAGGGCGCATATACCCGCGAGATCGAGAGCCAGGGCCGCTGGAAGCAGGGTTGAGGATGGTGGGCGTTACACCCGGAGCGAGACCGCCCGGTCGGCGCTGCCATATCGGCAACTGTTTTCGCTCAAGCCGCCGGCGGATAAACCGTCCCGAGCCAGGCAGATGGCATTACTGGCAACCTCACTTGCCCGGCGACTCTAACTGTACGTCAGTAATCCGGTCGATCAAGCGTGGCGAAATTCGCGTCGAGCTCGAGGGTTTCATAGCGTCCAGCATTTCATCCCTGACTCCAAATATATCAGTCCGTATTCGCTCGGCAAACTCGCTGGAAACCTTGGTTTCCGGATCATGTTTTTCGGCCCAGCCGATTACTGCCAGCATGACTGGGAGCAGGTCTTTTCCCTTGTCCGTCAGTTCATACAGTACCTGGCGCCGGTTGGCCGGGTTCTTTTGCCGGCTGACAATTTGCTGCGCTTCGAGTCGACTGAGCCGGTCGGACAGCACATTGGTTGCAATGCCCTCGCCCGCGTCCAGGAAGTCCTGAAACCGGGTGGAGCCGCGAAACATCATGTCGCGGATTATCAATAGGGACCAGCGATCCCCGAATACGCCCAGCCCGTACCGAATTGGGCATTCCTTCGGCTCGTAAATCATGCGTCTACCGTACCGGTTTTAGAATTCCCCTGCAAATGACTTGCAACCCGCAAGTAGTTTAGTATAATCACTCAATACAATTACTTGCAAATTGCAATCAATATCACTCCGCCGGCTAGGAGGCCCACGCCTTGAACCGCTCGATTTCACTGGCCGACTGGGGCCTGCTCCTGGCGGCGTCGGTACTGGTGGGCAGCACGTTTCTGTTCATCAACATCGCCGTCAAGGAGATCTCGCCGCTCGTTATCGCCGCGCTCCGGGCGCTGATGTCGGCGCTCATATGCTGGATCGTGATGCGCGCTTCCGGCGCGAGGCTGCCACGCACCCGCCAGGGATGGATCCCGCTGCTCGGTCTTGGTCTGCTGACCGGGGCCATTCCCTTCGGCACCGTCGCCTGGGGCCAGCAACATATTGAGAGCGGGTTGGGCGGCATCCTGTTCGGCACCATGCCAATCCTGGCAGTTGTGCTGGCGCCACTGTTCCTGGCCGAGGAGACATTCACCCGCCGGGCGCTGGTTGGCGGTGTGGTTGGGCTCGCCGGCGTTGTTCTATTGATGGGGC